GGGCGACCCCACGCCCCCATAAAAAAAAACCTCCAAAAAAAAAAAAAAAAAAAAAAAAAGAAAAGTCAAGAAAAAAAAAAACCCAGGCAAGAAATGGCAGTGGCCTCAACTAGAGATGGTGGGAAGAGAAATAGACCACTGGGAAAATGTTACAGACATACAGCCTGTGGGAATGGCTGATTATAGAGATGTGGAGGGAGAGGGTAAGGGACAAGATGATACCCATATTTTTTTACTGGGCAGCTAAACACAGGGCAAAGGAGAAGCTAGTTCAGGTGCATCCATATGCATGCTTTCCTCCCCTTTTCTATATAACTGTCTGACTCTCCTCCACTCATCTTCTATAGAAAAACACACACATAGGACCAGCAGGTGGTGGGGTCATTAAGGCCCTGGTCGCTCCCACATGGTCGACCATGGTTCGAGTCCCAGACCTGGTGGTTTGCTTTCTCACTTTCCCTGTGTGTGTGTGTGTGTGTGTGTGTGTGTGTGTCTGGTCAAATTAAAATAAATGAATAAATAAAATAAATAATTATTTTTTAAAAACTTTTTTTAAAGAAAAACACACACACTCCCTCTGTTCTCCCAGCACCTGCATTCACACCGTTCACCTCCTTCTAGCTACAGAATGCCCCCTAGGCATCCCAGGGAATCAAAGTAGAATGGCCAGAGCTTGCCCACTGGCTCTCCACATACCTGCCATAGTTCTGGCCTTGTAACATCCTCCCCCATCTTCCCCACTAGGCTATAAGCTCCTTGGGGAGAGGAAATCTGTCAATCATGATCAAATCCCCAGCAATAAGCACAATTCGTGGCACATAGGAAACTCACATTGCTAGAGAGATGACTGTTAAAGGTTTTAGGTGTTTCCAGTGGGGCTCTATCTGCCCACTGGATTGTGAGTTAAGAAAGTGTTTCCTTTAATGTTTTCAGCTCTTGACAAAAGGGAAGCAAGCTTGGGAACCAGCAGTTAGCGTAATGGCTATGTCGCTGGACTCCCACGTAGTCGACCGCGGTTCGTGTCCCGGACCCGGTGGCTTAAAACTCACGCCGGGCGCGTGTGCAAAAAAAGGAAGCAAGCTTTTTCTTACCTTTTCCTTTCCCAAGTCTGCAGTGCCAAATTCCCAGCCCCAGTTCCCACAAAACACACCCTAGCCCTCAAAACTCATGAATTTGTTTCTCTCAGCAATAAAAACCTAGGGAATCTAAAATATATTTGTAATGATGTTAGAAAGCACTCATGAGGTTTAATACCTGTGAGTCCCGCCCCCTACAGGGTACCCTTCCACGGACATTGACCGAGTTCAGAGCAGAAGGCATTTAAGTGTCAGCATTCTCCACGAAATTACAAAGAGCAGAAAGGTGGAAGCAATACCTACAAAGCCAGCCCGATTTTTATCTCCGCCCCCAAGTCAATCAGTCTGGGTGCACTGACAGTCAATTAGAGCTGTCTGGTACACAGAAACAGTGCAAAACAATGTTTGTTAAAAACAAGGGACGGGGCTGGGCCCAAAGCCCTCCCCTCTCCGAAGAATCCACGACGTGGCAATATGTCCCCACCGCCACCTCCACCCCTCCCCCACAGAGCCAGCTCACGCACCCTGTAGCGCTGCCAAGATTCCCACGATGCCCGTCCCCGCGCCCAGTTCGATCACCTTCTTGCCTCGGAAATCCACATTTTGAGTCTCAAAATAGTTGCACAGGCTCAGAGCCTATGGAAGAAAAGAGGGAAGAAGAGATTGTCGCAGGGATGGCTCCATCTGGAAGAGGCAGATGCGGGATCTGAACCTCCCAAAGACCCTCATCAGGAGCAGCCCACTCCTCACCGCATCCCACACGCGCGCTGCCACCCCGAGGCGGGACCCAAAGTTCTGCGTGATGCTCAGCACGTGCCCGCAGTAGCAGAAACGGCTCTTCTCAGAGTAAGAGTCGGTGAAGAGCCCGATCTCCCGCGGAAACACCAATTCCGGCTCTGATTCAGGATCTGGGTCGAGGTCCGCCATCCCGCCTAGAAGGTGCCAGGGCACCACCTCCGACACTCAGATAGCAGGTCTGCAGCGGCGGTGAGGCTGGGAGCTGCAGGCAGTCTGGGCTCCTCCGTGGCACCGGGCCCCGCCTCCCCGAGTTTGCCCTGCTTCCTCCCGCTTGGCTTCCTGGAGGTAGCATGAAGAGCTGCCCCTTCCGCCCTGGTCCTTGGGGCACACTGATGAGACCCACGCGGGACCACACAGGTCAGACCCCGCAGACCGTTCCGAGATCGGGGCGAGAGGAGAGGCGGGAGGATTAACTGTACTACAAGAGGTGGGGTCCCCAGACCTATCGCACCTGTGGAGTGACAGGTGCCTGCAACAGAACAGGCAAGCTACTAGGTGCCTGGGTCTGGCCCAGATAGAGACTAGAGGATGGAGTGTGGTCTCTGCCCTCGTCAGGATGGTCCACCCTGTTTAGCCCAGCCGAATTTGCTCTTGGGTCTTTAAGGGGCGGGATCTGCTCACAACGTGCATAACTGCGTCATTATCGTGCGCCTCGAGTCTCGGTCTCCACGTGGGATCGGTGGCAACACACCGAACTGGTGGGATCATGGCGGGGGCGGAGACCCGGAACGCGGCCGCAGCGGAGGCCCCGCAGCCCCAGAAGCGCTACTACAGGCAACGTGCTCACTCCAACCCCATGGCGGACCATACGCTGCGCTAGTGAGTGAGCGGAGCACGGGGAGGGAAAGGAGGGCGGAATCCTCAAATCAGCCCCAGGCAACCCGGGAGAGCAGTCGTGCTGGGACTGCCGGGAGGACTTGGGCTCGACCCTAGGATTGGCTGGGTGACATCTGTTTTGGGGGTGGGTCCGGGAAATTTGACCCAGAGCGAAGCTGGCCAGCTGTGGGGCGTGGCGTTCTCGCCTAAGGCTGGACAGCGGTGCCAAATCTGGGAAGAGAAAGAAATTGTTAGGAGACTGCAGTGATAGATACAGAATGTCGTTTCCATCCTTCGGTTTTGTTAGGTTTAATCAGAAGACAAAAATTAGCATAGCCCACACCTCACACTATCGTTTCCCCACTGAGCACATAAACAAAGTAAGATCCCTGTGCAGGCAGCCAGTCTCTGGGAGAAGGGGAACCTGCACCCACAAAGGAGAGCGCCGGCCAGAGTCACATCAACCCCCTAGAAGTGGAGATGGGCAGGTCAGCAATCATGGGTCTCATGATGGGCCTATGATTCACACTGGGGGTTAAGGGTGGTTTCCATCGTGCCTCCTAGACACCACAGGGCTCAGTGTTACAGAATTTTTGAGAAACCATCTTCTTATCTGCCTGTCACCCACACCCAGAGGAGATGGACTGGTCTGAGCTATATCCAGAGTTCTTCTCTCCGCTCACTCAGAATCAGAGCCACGATGACCCAAAAGAAAAGAATGAAAAGAGAGTTCAGGCCCAAGTGGAGTTTGCAGACATAGGCTGCGGCTATGGTGGCCTGTTAGGTAACACTCTGGCGCTCTCTGGGATGAGGAGAGGTCTAGGTTCTGCCATCTCAGCAGGTTTGGTGAGGGCCACAGTTGGCCTTTCCACTTCGGACCAGACACTGGTGACATCAACATGGAGAGCCCTACCTTGCCTCTACTCTGTGGCCTTTGCCCTGGAGAAGGGAGGGGGCTGCTGCAAATGCTTCTTAGAAGCTGGATTGTCCTATCTGGCCCCAGTCCCTGCGTGATCCATTTCACCTGCCAGGTGCTGGGTCAGTGAGCTGGTCAGCACAAGCGTCAGAGATTAGCCACTGTGGCCAGTGATCCTGAACCGTCTTTCTCAGGGATTCCACACAACACTCCCCTCCCCTTCTCTGATCAGAACTCCTTCTTTCTGCCCTAATCTTGCACTTTTGGGTTCCTCTCACATTGGGCAAACTGTGCCATCCGTGTACACCAAAACACCTTTCTGTCTTTAGATCTTACAATAGAGATAACAGTCTGGGGGCCAGCAGGTGGCATGATGGTTAAGGTGCTGGACTTCCACGTTGGCTGACCTCACTTTGAGTCCTAGACCTGCCAGCTTGCTTTCTCACTCTCCCTTTCTCTGATAAAATTAAATCATAAAAAGTAGTGACAAATTAAATTAATTAAATAAATAAATCTTTTAGAAAGTGAGAGAAAACAGGCTGACAGAGAGGGGGCTGGCAGGTGGCATGGTCATTAAGGGCACTGGACTCCCCTATGGCCGACCACTGGTTCAAGTCCCAGACCTGGTGGCTTGCTTTCTCGCTTTCTCTCCCTCTCTCTCTCTTTTACTCTGTCCCTCTTTGGTCAAATTAAAATAAATAAAATAAAAATAAAAACTTAAATAAAATAAATCTTTTTTAAAAGTTAATTAAAAAAAAACACAGTCTGACAGAGGAAGAGCATGGTACGGAGAGGCAAAAAAAAAAAAAAACTTGGCTCAGTCTTTTTTCTTTAATTATTTTATTTTAACTTTATTTATTTATTTACTTATTTTAATTTGTCTGGAGACGGACAGAGAGAGAGAGAAAGTGAGGAAGCAGTCACCAGGCCCAGAACTTGAACCACAGTCAGCCATGTAGGAATCCAGTGCCCTTAACCACCACACCACCTGCCAGCCCCAGTTCAGTCTTCTTATTGATACGTTTATGATCTTGGCCATTTCAGACCTCTAGTTTTCTCTTCACAATTTATAAGGATTTAATGAGGCAATGTGTGAACACTAAAGCGATTGCAAATATATGTGTATTTGCAGCCTTCCCATCCCGGTCCTGTGACAGTTTCGTATCTCCTTTTCCTTTTTGGTGTAGAACAATCCACATAGGTATTTCTGTCCCCACTTACCATTCCTGACTGGTAGTTGCAGATCGAGGCTTCCTTTTTTGTTAATCCCTTTGCACTTCCCGCAAATAGGAGGTTAATGATTCCATTGCTATTTCTCTGTCTAGTGGAACTGTCACCATTGTTCCCAAATACACTGATTCTGGGTCTAGAGATCCGGGTGAAAGTCTCGGACTACGTGCAAGACCGAATTCGGGCCCTACGCGCAGCTCCTGGAGGTGGCTTCCAGAACATCGCCTGTCTCCGTAGTAATGCCATGAAGCACCTTCCTAACTTCTTCCACAAGGGCCAGGTGGGGAGGGGCCCTGGTGGGTTATACTGGTAGACAGGCTGGGCACAGAGGCCAAGTTCTCACAACCCTGCACGTCTGCCTCACAGCTGACAAAGATGTTCTTCCTCTTCCCTGACCCACATTTCAAGCGGACAAAGCACAAGTGGCGAATCATCAGTCCCACACTGCTGGCAGAATATGCCTACGTGCTGAGAATTGGGGTGAGCTGGGTGTGGTAGGGAGGATGGAATGAGTGGCCTACTTGGGGGCCCTTTGCTGAGAAGTTAGTGGCAGTACCTTTAAGGACCTACACCACCACTGCCATCATCTTGCTGCTCAGGTGTATGCAGCCCCCTGTCTAGGGTGATTTTGCCTATGCAGGGGCTGGTGTACACCATAACCGATGTGCTGGAGCTACACAGCTGGATGTGCACCCATTTTGAAGGGCACCCCCTGTTCGAGCGAGTGCCTCTGGATGAGCTGGTAAGTATAGATCCTAGAGGAAATTGCGAAGATGCAGGCCCTTTCCAGAGTGCTTCCGTATTCTTTGAACTCAGTTCAATGCCAGGAAGCTGAGACGGGAGTTTGGGGGCAAGGGGCAGTGTGAAAGGTAGGCAGGGATTTACTGGACCTTTCCTCTCCCAGGGCGAAGACCCCATTGTGGGACATCTAGGCACCTCAACCGAGGAGGGAAAGAAAGTTCTACGCAACGGAGGAGAGAATTTCCCAGCCATCTTCCGACGAATACAGGATCCCACCCTCCAAGCAGCGACTCCCAATCCCAGCCTGCCTGCTTACTGACTACCTGTCCTGCCCTTCCAGGGACTGGAACCTTCTGAGCTGAGACTGCTGGGGAGCTGCATGGGGCAGAACCCTGGCTTTCACTACTTCTCCAGGCTCTTCTCACCTCCCTGTCCCTCCACTGCCAACAGAAAGCAAAAGTAGCTGACTGGGAAGGTGAAATGACCTTGGACCAGAGGGGATCTTTGCAAGGGTGTGATGTCTCACTCTCCCTTAGCTCTCCCTTCTCCATGTGGAATCTCTCCTCAGCTGGGGTGAGGAGTGCAATGCCCCACTGTTCATCTAAACTGCCTGCTAGGCTCAAATCACTAGTGCACTTGTGTTTACTTTGCAGTCCTGGGGGGGATAACGTGAGTGTGTACTTGTGCCAGTTCTGCTATTTCTTTTTTTTTTTTTTGGAGAGATTTTCGCTATAGGGCGCGTGCGCGCGCCAGACAGACAGAGACATAGAGACAGAAAGCGAGAAATCACCCCCCAGGGGGGATGGTCACGCCGCAATCGCTTCTCCTCCATTCTCCTCTCGGGATCGTGGGCACGCACGCACACGCGCCCGGCGTGAGTTCTAAGCCACCGGGTCCGGGATGCGAACCGCGGTCGACTACGTGGGAGTCCAGCGACATAGCCATTACACTAACTGCTGGTTCCCCAGTTCTGCTATTTCTTTTTTTTTTTTTTGGAGAGATTTTCGCTATAGGGCGCGTGCGCGCGCCAGACAGACAGAGACATAGAGACAGAAAGCGAGAAATCACCCCCCAGGGGGGATGGTCACGCCGCAATCGCTTCTCCTCCATTCTCCTCTCGGGATCGTGGGCACGCACGCACACGCGCCCGGCGTGAGTTCTAAGCCACCGGGTCCGGGATGCGAACCGCGGTCGACTACGTGGGAGTCCAGCGACATAGCCATTACACTAACTGCTGGTTCCCCAGTTCTGCTATTTCTTTTTTTTTTTTTTGGAGAGATTTTCGCTATAGGGCGCGTGCGCGCGCCAGACAGACAGAGACATAGAGACAGAAAGCGAGAAATCACCCCCCAGGGGGGATGGTCACGCCGCAATCGCTTCTCCTCCATTCTCCTCTCGGGATCGTGGGCACGCACGCACACGCGCCCGGCGTGAGTTCTAAGCCACCGGGTCCGGGATGCGAACCGCGGTCGACTACGTGGGAGTCCAGCGACATAGCCATTACACTAACTGCTGGTTCCCCAGTTCTGCTATTTCTCAGCAAAGGCTGGAGTGTGTATCACATGCCTTCTCCCGTCGTCCCATCCTCTCCCTGCCTGAGATTTGACCTGGTGAATCTGTGTTCTCTTTATTGTTGCTGTCTCTGGAGTTCCTGGGAGGGTGTGAGGCTGGAGACCCTTTCCTTTTTCTTGTTGAACTTCAGTTCCAGAACTTCAGAGCTGACTGACTGACACAAGCCTGATAGAGTGGGGTGGCGAGTGTGAGTGTGAGGAGCAAGAGCTAAAATGTGGAGGATTCTGAGGCCAAATGTGGAAATGGGCTGCTGACCCCAAGCCCCCAGAGGAGGCCGAGTCAGCTGGGGATTCAGAGCACTCACTTAGTCCTTGCTCCATCCAGTATTGTAACAATCCAGGGGAATCTCAAACTTTCTAATTTGCAAAAGGCTCCCTCACTTCTGTTTCTCAAGCTCCCAAGTTTCCATGGTTGGAAGGAGGGGGCTTATTGACCCTCCTCTCCCCCAAGAGAAACCAGAAAGGTGCCTGGAGCCATTTTAACCTGTTAATCCACCTGCCATCTGCCAGAAACATGCACGTTCCTCATGGGAAAAGAGATGTGGCCAGTGTAGGAAAATCCTGCTCGCATGTGGAGGAGATGCAACCAATAAGCCAAGAATGTGGGGACAGTTACAGCTGTGCCTTTTCCCTGCTTCTCTTCCCGGAGAAGCTGGAGGGTGGGGAATTCCTAAGGATGGGCCTGAAGGGGCTTGGCCCCTGGGGGACCAGGAAGTGGTGGGAATACTAAGGACTGACTCTAGCTTGGTCGGTCACTTAATCCATACCAAATAGTCTTTCTCAGGGAGAGACCTTCAGGTTGCTGGACTAGCCCAGAAGAAACGGACAGACCTCTCCCCTCAGGGTCATTGCATCATGAGACCCAGGGGAGCAGGGAAGTTAGTCCCAGCCCCGCCTACTGTTCCTGGGTGCTAATCCCCAGGACCGACCACTCAGAAGGGATTGGTTGAAAAGCTTGGAGAGGGGGCGTCCTCACCACCTCACTCAATGGTTAAATAGAAGTTCACACAACAGGCAAGATGCTCTGGAGAAGCGCTCTCTTCCACGTGCTCTCTGGACCGGACCAGGACCATGACCCAGACCCTCAAGTTTGCCTCCAGAGTGTTGCATCGCGTCCTCTGGGCTCCTGAGCTGGGTGCCTCCCTGGGCTCCAGCTCCGACTCAGCGCCCCGCAGTTTGGCAGACATCCCAGGCCCCTCTACGCCTAGCTTCCTGGCCGAGCTTTTCTGCAACGGGGGACTGTCGAGGCTACACGAACTGCAGGTAGGAGGAGACACCCTTCTTGGGACTGAGAACAGGGGGAAGTGGCTTTAATAAGTCCAGAAAGGATAGATAGGGTAGTGCAGAAGAAGGGGAGGAGCAGGGAGAATGGATGTCTATGAATTATGGAAAAGGCAAGCTGGCACCCGGAGCTCTGCCTCCACTGACTCCGAGTTCATCCTGACACCCAGCGGAGGAGGGCGCTCAGAAAGCGCCCTCTGGCAGTGCAGAAGTCTGGAGACCCCTTAGGTCCAGGACCGGTGTGCCGGAGGCGGAAACGTTAGGTTTAAAGCTACACGCGCTCCTTTCCGTCCACTGAGGACTCGACCAGAGATGGACAGTCCAGAAGGGGAACCCTTAGAGATTTCTCCGATTTCTTTCTTTTTGGTCCAGCTGACTAAAGAGAGGTCCTGCGTGTCTGGTTTGCACAAAGTTCCTCCGCTTTGCCGGTCACATTCACACTTCGAAGGAATGGGAAATAGGAGAAAGAGAAGGAGGAAATTGCAGCATCAGGGTCATACACTAGCTGGGTGCTAGAGAAGCAGCAGAAACACCCTCAAACCCCCTCCCCCGCCCCGCTCCTCACTTTTTCAAAGCCTAGTCAATGCCCTAGACGTTGGTCTCCAATTGTCTGCTGCGTTCGTCCTCCCAGGTGCAGGGCGCCGCGCGCTTCGGGCCTGTGTGGCTCGCCAACTTCGGGACGGTGCGCACAGTGTACGTGGCCGCCCCTGCACTCGTCGAGCAGCTGCTGCGACAGGAGGGCCCCCTGCCCGAACGTTGCAGCTTTTCGCCCTGGACCGAGCACCGTCGCCGCTGCCAGCGGGCTTGCGGACTCCTTACAGCGTGAGTCCTCCTCCCTGCCCACAAAGCCTAGACGCCGGGTAGCAGCCCTCTCCTGCGGCAGGGCCCCAGACGATCTATCTGGTGGCATAAAGGCCGGCCGTTTCCCCCACCTTCTGGCATTTCGGGGTTCCCAACCCAGTCTGTTTCACCCGAACTCTCCGCCCATCGCCTGTAAGGGAACAGGAGGAACCGGTGTAATGGGCTAGGGTACCAGCATCTGAATGGAATGTGAGATTCTGTGACTCAGGTTACCCGGGAACCCTGGACCCCTCCGGGGCAGGAAGTGAGTAAGGAGGAAGAGGGATGAAAGACTGGTGCAGGCAAGAGCAGGTTTCTGTACCCCAAGGGAGCAGACGCGATCTCGCTCCTGGCCACACCAGGCGAACCAACGCGCTCCTTCAGCGCTCCTCCACCGCAGCCAGCCCTGTGGAGCGGTCTCCACACCCCCCACCTCCCTGATGCGCCCTCTCTCCGCACCCCCGCAGAGAAGGAGAAGAGTGGCAGAGGCTCCGCAGTCTCCTGGCCCCTCTCCTCCTCCGTCCTCAAGCGGCCGCCGCCTATGCCGGGACCCTGGATAACGTGGTCCGTGACCTTGTGCAGAGGCTGAGACGGCAGCGGGGACATGGCAGTGGGCCTCCCGCCCTAGTTCGGGACGTGGCGGGAGAGTTTTACAAGTTCGGACTAGAAGGTGAGTCCCAAGACAGAGATAGGGGCAGACTTTAGAGGCACTCTGGCAAGGGCCGTCGGTGCCTGACAGCGCCCCCTCTCGGCCAGGCATAGCCGCGGTGCTGTTGGGCTCACGGCTGGGCTGCCTGGAGGCCGAAGTGCCGCCAGACACAGAGACCTTCATCCGCGCAGTGGGGTCGGTGTTCGTGTCCACGCTGTTGACTATGGCGATGCCCAACTGGCTGCACCGCCTTGTGCCCGGACCCTGGAGCCGTCTTTGCCGAGACTGGGACCAGATGTTTGCATTTGGTAAGGCACATATGAGATGAGAGCCGGGAACGTAAAGCTTTCAAAAGCTTTCTGGGGTATTGAGACACATACTAGCGTGCTTCTTCCCCACCCAGCCCAGCAGCACGTGGAACAAAGAAAGGCCGAGACAGTCATGAGGAACAAGGGAACGCCTGAGGGGGACACAGAGTCCAGGGCGCACCTGACCTACTTCCTGTTCCGGGAGGAGTTGTCTGTCCAGTCTATCCTGGGGAATGTGACAGAGCTGCTACTGGCTGGAGTGGACACGGTGAGGTCCCCCCTCCATGCTCTGAGCCCCACTTCCAGAGCTTGGACTCCCCAGTTTGAGGGCCACTTTTCTGCTGTAGGGGATTCATGATGGCCATGTAGACGGGCTTAACTCAGCATCTGCTGGGCCCCAGACACCGGATATTCTGCCCCCTGTACTGGATCAACATACCCAACACCGCTGGTGTGCTCCTGTCCCCTCAGGTGTCCAACACACTCTCCTGGGCTCTGTATGAGCTTTCCCGGCACCCCGAAGTCCAGACAGCTCTCCACTCAGAGATCACAGCTGCCCTGGGCCCTGGCTCCTGTGGGCACCCAACAGCCACTATGTCCCAGCTGCCCCTGCTGAAGGCCGTGATCAAAGAAGTGCTAAGGTGAGGGGAAGAAAAGGAAGAACCAAATACAATGTGGGGAAAGGGCCAGGGAAGCAGATAGTGGGGTGGAAGCAGGGAGAGAAAGCAGAAAAAAATGGTACTGTACTCCTGGCCAAAAACAGGTTCAAAAACGGGAGACCATAAAAAGGAGGCTACAGTTCCCAGCCTCACCTCACTGTCTCCACCTTGTGCTTTGCAACCTAGACTGTACCCTGTGGTTCCTGGAAATTCTCGTGTCCCAGACAAAGACATTCATGTGGGTGACTTTATAATCCCCAAAAATGTAAGTACTGCTTATGGACCCCTTTTGCTGAGCCATTTCTCACTATTTGGGGCCCCAACCCTGTTCTCAAAAACTCAACCCAAGCCCTTCAAACTCTCCCCTTGACCAGAATGCCTCTCTCTAGGATATAATGGAGCAATAAAGAAATTGTAGCCCCAGAAAATTCTTCCCATCACCAACGAGGGCCTGCCTCTGTCTCGTCCATTCATTCTCTTCATGTCCTCCCCACCCACTCCCCGCCACCACCACCCCTGATTCCTGGTCCCAGATTGACACGTTTGTGTTCCTCCCCCACCAGACGCTGGTCACTCTGTGCCACTATGCCACTTCAAGGGACCCTGCCCAGTTCCCAGAGCCAGATTCGTTTCGTCCGGCTCGCTGGCTGGGAGAGGATCCAGCTCCCCACCCATTTGCATCTCTTCCCTTTGGCTTTGGCAAGCGCAGTTGCATGGGTAGACGCCTGGCAGAGCTTGAGCTGCAAATGGCTTTGGCTCAGGTGAGTGATCTAGACCATTTACCTTCCCAGACTATAGAGACCCTAACCCTCTAAAGCAGCAGGCTCTCATCCTCTGATGAACATAGGAAAACAAGTCAGATGTGGTAGACCTAACCAACTGAAATATGAAAATCCCATTACAGGCCTGGAGTTTGAACCACTTTTCTCTAGCATAAGTTATCCCTTACCCTTATTAATTAAGAACTCCCTCACTGGCCACAGGTGGCACCCATCAACTATTGTTTTTTCTTTGGAGGGGGATTTTTTCTAAAGGGTGCATGCACTCCCCAGACAGAGATGGAGAAAGTGAGAGATCACCCCATAGGGGAATGGCCACACTGCAATCCCTTCTCCTCCATTCTCCTCGCAGATCAAACCACTGGGTCTGGGACTTGAACCATCGCTGGCCATGTGGGAGTCCACAGAAGCCTTAACCACTACACCACCTGCTGGCCCCAGACTATTCTAACACTAATAAGGCATTTGATCAGTCAGTTCTACAATTACAGACCCTCCCATAATGATAACTTTTTCCTCCCTCTCTAGATCTTGACCAATTTTTTTTTTTTTTTTTTTAAGATCTTGATCAATTTTGAGATCCAACCTGAGCCAGGTGCTGCTCCAATCAGACCCATGACCCGGACTGTCCTGGTACCTGAGAGAAACATCAACCTACAGTTTGTGGACAGATAGTCCTATGGAAGGACACTGGCATCATCACCAATTCTCTCATCGGAGGGACTTCTGAGGCATAAAACCAAGAAATATGTCTTCCTCCCTGAGGCCTGTCTGAGCAAACTGGACAGAAAGACCCAGGCAAAGTGCTGGAGGCAGCTCTAAGGTGTGAAGTATGTGCTTGACCTGACTCAGTAGGCCCCCAGAAAACCATGGTTCCTCAATCTGCCTGGCCCTTCTCCTGATTATCTATGCATCCTTAAAGGATCAGTCAGATTTGAAGTAATCACGCTGGTTGGCCTGAGGAAGCATCTAACTGTTCCTTTTGGTGCTTTTGCAGTGTTCATTGATGCTGCTGGCTAAGCATTTACTATGGCCTCAGCTGTTACAGTGCGTCTGTTCTGCACCTGGCTAGTCCTCTCCCTTCGAGAGGAAGGATGAGGGTCTACTTGGTCTTTATATCACCTTCCAGGGCCTGGCCCTGCCTAGGTGACACCATTTACATTCTCAGATTGAATGGGGACCTTGTGGCAGTAGAGATAAGCAGCTTACTAGGCCCTTTCCTTTTTCATCTTGCCCTTAGGAGGGTGAACCTGCCCTAACCTAGTTTATTGGTTTGTTTGTTTTTGTTTGTTTGTTGTTTTGTTTTTGCCACAGGGCATGTGTGCTCCCTGGAGAGAGATAGAGAGAGGGGAAGGGAGAAATCAGGCCCCGGGGGATGGCCATGCAGCAACCCCTTCTCCATTCTCCTCTTGGAATTTTGGGCAGTATGCACACATACCCAGCATGATTTTCTAAGTCACCATGTCTGGGACTGCAACCATGATTGACCATGTAGGAGTCCAGGGCTTAACCACCATGCTACCTGCTGACCCCTAGTTTATCATTTTTAAAATTCTTCTTGGTGCTAGATCCCACATGGCCTCCAAAGTTCAAGTCCCAAACATGGCAGCTTGAAAAACACTGTGTGTAGATGCCCAGATATGGGGGATGGTTTCTCACCTTCTCTCTCTCTCTGTCTCTATCCCCCCCCCTCCCTCATCACAAGTGCCCTATGGCAAAAAAATGTAAAAACAAAAAGCCATCCTTGGTGCTTGTCACTACAAGTGAGCTTGTCCCATCACTTATTCCCCAGGCAGAGACATCTTCGGGGCTGTCAGTGCACAGGCCTCTGCCCTCTTTTTTGTATCGACAATTTTAAATATTTATAACTTTTAGAATTAAAAAAAAAGAAATCAAATGGTCCTTCCTTGACTGTTTTTTTGGAGAGGTTTTTGCTATAGGGCACGTGCGCTCTTGGATGTGCGTTTAAGCCACTGGGTCCGGGACTCGGGTCCGGGACTCGGACCAGTCGATTACATGGGAGTCCAGGGACATAGCCATTAGGCTAACTGCTGGTCCCCCTCCTTGACTTTTGATTTACTTCTCACCTACTTGCTACAAGACCTGGAGGCAAGATCCTGACCCCTATTTCCCACCTTGGTTTCTCAGGGAAGTGAGTCCCATAACAATGGGAGGTATGGACACTTGGAAGAGAGATTTGCAACACAAACCCAGACACGTTTCTGTCTGTAGTGGGTACAGCCAAGTCTAGTCTGGCTTCCTGTAAGAGATTAAGGGGGCGGTGGTGAAAAGGAACTGCAGGGGCTGAGCCGTAAACTGGGCTGGGAGCTGGGGGGTTGCAGAGATGGACAGTTGACTCTAGTAAGAAACGCGATTTTGGAACCTAAACTGCCAGAATAGAACAAAGTCCTAGAATGGACACTGACTTCTCTGGAAGTTATACCCAGATCATTTCCTTTAGAGAAAGACAGGAATACAGGATGAGAAGTAGAGTCAGACAGGATGAAAGGCAAATGCGGGGGTGGTCAGAAACCCTGAGGGCACCAAGACTGGAGTAGAGGGGTGGGCTGAGGGAGCCTCTGTTTTCTTGAGTCAGCACTCTCTGGCCCCCCCAGAAGCTGGACACAGTTCTCCCCTTGTGATGTATACAGATTAACTCATCTTTCACTCAAATAAATCTCTCAGCACAATCCATGCAGCTCCCTCTGCATCCCAGATTGCTTCCCCATGTCAGAACCTGCCTACTTTCTTTTGCTCTCCCTGCCCCCCACCCCTCATGCCTGCCCAACTCCAATTAGCTGAGTGTAGATGGAAATTTCACTTCACGCTTCCTCCTCCACACCACCTCGACCCCCTCACCCTGAACATGGCTCCCTGACCACAGAGACTCCATTGGCCACCAGGCCTTTTGTGGGAAGTGGAGTAGGGGGCCTAATGACACCAGGTCTATAGAGAGACAAGGTATATCCAAAGCCTTGGTGCAAGAGCATTTTATGTATTTCCTGCCTCTTCTTTTTTTTTAAATTTTTAAAGAATTATTTATTTTAATTTGATTAAAGAAGAACAGAGTGAGTGAGAGAGAAAGTGAGAAAGCAAGTCTCCAGGTCCGGGACTTGAACTGCTGTCAGCCATGTGGGAGTCCAGTGCCCCTAACCACACTACCTGCCAGCCCCTCCTGCCTCTTAACTTCTTCCCTATGTATATTCTTCACACCTCCTCCATCCCTAACCTCAACTTGAACCAATATGACCCAATCTTTAGCAGATTTAATCTTTGAGGGGGAAAAAGCCTACTTTGCCATCAGAACCTTTGCTCTAGAATCAATAATTAGAATTCTATTCAGTGATAAGAATTCGGCAAGTGGCATGGTGGTTAAGGGCACTGGACTCCCACATGGCCATTGCAGTTCAAGTCCTGGACCTGGTGGGCTGCTTTGTCTCTTTGACTCTCTCTCTCACTCTGTCGTTCTAAATTAAATTGATTCTTAAAAAATAAAATAATTCTACTCACCCACACTCCCAACTGGGCAAGTAGAAATGCCCACTGAGAAGGGTAGCAGTACCCAGGACCCCTTTCCTCCACAAGGATCTCTAAGTTGGAAAAAGGGAAGGAGAAGAGACTATACTGATTGCTAGCCCCAACCCCATTTACACCTCCATTGGTGCCAGAGAGGGTAAAGTATTAGCTCACTCCGCCAGGTTTGGGGATGCAGAGTGGAAATGGAGACAGTGGATTTGTGTGTCTGACTTACGCTGCTGGGTAGGTAGGACCATCAGAGGGCACAGACCAGGATGGGCACAGGGAGCTCCACACATGTCATATCTACCTAAGCCCTACCTGCCAGTGTAGGTAGCAGTCACTCTACTTGTTCTCTCACATTTGGTATCCACCAACTCTTCTGTGAATTGCATAGCAATGAAGTCTGGCCCTTCTATCTCCCCAGGTAGGGAGTATAGAGTTCTCTCTGGGAAAACAATTTCCCAACAGGAATATAAAGGCCTTGGCCTCAGTCCCCTATCTACTCTGACGCTCTAGGTAGTTGAGAGTGATATGTTCCACACTTTGAGGTGACTCAGACCCTAGCCCAGCCTGGAATCCTATGATCTCCTGAGAGTCTGGGTGCCAGTACCATGGACAGCAGCCAAGGGCCACCCCCACCCCCCACCCC